CTTCACATTAAGTCTTTGGTTGTGTCTTATGTAATATGATAAAGTAGTAGCTTATGCATCGAGATAGCTCAAGTGCATGGGAAGAATTACCCTACATGCATCTTGAAGATAGTTGTAATCATTTTTGTCCTACATATTTGCAGGTATTACTTATATGGTATTCATTGTGATGCTTTCACTGGTCATAAAAGCTTTAAATACATTTTTACTTAGAAGCATTTTAAATTAAGGAAAAAAATATGGCTTAAGTTGATGAACTAGGATTTACATATTCAGTACCATTCGAGCAAAGCTAATGTGGTGCCAGATGCTTTAAACTAGAAGCCTTTATCTTATACAACATCGATGATCACTCAGAAGCGATAGTTTCTATTTGAAATGGAATCACTTTAGCTTGAGATTGTACCAATAGGAGGTAACTTTGTTATTTATCGCATGTTTATTCAACCGATAATTATTGATCAGATTCATAAAGCTCAAATAAAAGACATCAAGTTGATACAAATTAGAGAGAAAGCTCATAATAAATTGATGCCATATTTTACTATTGATGAGATAGGTTCCTTAATATTTAAAGATCGACTTTGTATTCTAGATCATGTTGAACTCCAATCAGAGATACTTTGGCAGGCACACAATACTCTGTATTTAGTTCACCCTGTTGTCCTCATTTTTAAATAAGGTCATAGTTTTACATCAACTCTTCCTGGCATTTAGGTTTTTGTACCTTAGTATAAAAGTCAGTTGTAGGATTCCTTTTAGGTGGACTCCCGATGACATATGAGTTTAATTTTAAATAATAAAATTGAATTTGGAGTTATTAATACTATAACATTTAAATGTTGTTAATTTGGGTATTCATACATATAATTAAATAATTATATGTTGCTAATATAATCATAATTAGCTTAAAATTATCTTTAATTGATTTAATTTATCTAATGTCTTTTAAAGTGGTTTAAATTTAGGCATTTAATGATTTAGATGGTTTAAATATTATTTTAAAGAAGATTTTAATTATTGCAATTATTAAATTTAAATTTTATAGAACATAGTGCTAAGAAACTTCTAAGTGCCAGAAGTTATTGATTAGAAAATCCTTGGCTCATATTTGTAATGCTACTAGTCCTCCAAAATTGGGCTAGATGGATAGCATAAAATCCTTCATTTTAATTATGTATTTTGGTCTTTAAAGCTTCTCAATATAATACACTTTGTGCCCTTCTCAAAGGAATCAAGCTCTATGGTATAGAAGCTACATTTTCTAAATGTTTTATTAATGATTTTTATATTAATTTAGTTAGATTGATTGATGATTTATTAAATTTATAATTTTAATATTTACATTCAATCAAATTCATTCGTGGAGTTTCCATAATGGACAAGAGAACCAATACCTTTTGAGAACACGAAGCCCTACAACCCAAGGTAGTCCAACAAAAAAATCTTTATTGATAGAGTAATGGTTATTTATTTTACTATTGCTATCAGATTTAATTCATTAGTTTGATCATTTATAGAAATTTTGATGATTTATTTAGTTTTCATATTTTAATGCATTTATTGTGGGGTCCATTTCTTGCCATTTTAATTTGCATTAGTTTTTAGAGTTTTAATTTTTTTTATAAATACTAGATCTGATAATGAGTTTAGAGTATTTGAATATACTAGATTTGATATTTTAAACAATTAGTTATGAATTCTATTTGTCTAGGTTATTTGTATAAATTAAATTTAACCAAATAATGACTTTTTTATTTATTCTAATTTCTAGAGTTTTCATATTTTTCATAAATACTAGACCAATAGATGGGTCTAATACTTTATGTTTGCTAGATTTGGATTTTGCTAGAATTAGTTATGAATTTTATAAGGTTAGTACATTTTATATATTAAGTTGGAGCCAAATGTTGATTTTCTGATTTAGAGTGAATTTTTTAGTATTATAGAATAATAAAATTTAGTTTAAGAAGCTCTATGATTTCTTAAAAATAGCCTCAAGTAGATAAATTTTAAACTGAGCTCACCCCTTGATATATCATCAAAAAATTATCTTGATCAGACACAAATCTCAAGGAAAAATAAACTGGGAAACTTAAAAAATTAAATTCATGGCCATCTTAACTCTGATTTCAACAAACTTATAGTTGAACTGAATGTCTTGAAAATATGAACCCAACGATAACAAATTCAACTCATATGAGCCCAAATGAGTCCAAATCAAAGAGCTGATGCACATTTATAATGTTCAAATCATAATTTAGATTACCTAATATTTCCAAACATGACATGCTTATATTGAAATGGAGCAACTCGACGAGACAAATCCAACGAGCCTAAGATTGTTAAATTATGATATCATTAAGACATTCAAATGTCTAAAAACTGATCCACAATAAAGGGAATCAACATCAGCCATCCATTCAAACCACTCCCAATTTACCCTTGATCTTCCTCATATTTACTGGTCATGCCACTCTTATAATTCTATAAATAGAGACCTCACTTCTCATGAAAAGGGGGTGAAAGGAAGAGAAGGAATTTGAGATTATCTCTTACCACCAAACTCCTCGACAACTGCCCGGACTTCCAACGGACCACCAAGTGACACCGAATTTCTAACGGACCACCAACTAAAGCTAGATTTTTGCCAAAACACCAACTGATGCCCGAACATCTGCCGAACCACCAACTTACGCCTAGATTTCTTTTGGACCACCAACTGATGATAGTTTTCTGTCAGAGCACCAATTGACGCTCTTACATTTTCCAGACCACCAATTGACACTTGGATTTATTCCAGACAACCAACTAACACTAGATTTCTGCCATAACACAAACTGACATGCAGACTTCTATCGAACTACCAACTGACATCGAATTTCTGCCAGAACACCAACTAACACCAAATTTTTATCAAACCAACAACTAACAATCAGACTTCTACCGGACCACCAACTGACATCGGAGTTCTACTAGACCACTAACTTTCATTGAAATTACACTCGACCACCAACTAACGCCGAAATTCCACTTGGCTTCGAATTATTGATGGACTTCCACAAGACAATGATATTTCTGACCATTGTCATTTGCCGACTACAGTCCTTCTGACCTCCATCACTTGGCAACGATCTTTCCGACCTCCGTCGTTTAACGACTGTGGTCCTTCCTACCACCCTCACCTGACTACGGTCTTTTCGACCTTTGTCGTAAGCCGACTATGGTCTTTCCGACCTTTGTCACCTTACAACGGTCTTTTTGACCTCTTCGCCCATCAACTATAGTCCTTTCGACCACTGTCACCCGAGTACGATCTTTTCGACCACCGTCACCAACTGACAATGGTCTTTTTGATCAAACAAACAAATCAATTCTAATTCTTCCTATTTCCACCATTGAATGCACTCTATTGGATGTAAATTTTTTACATCAAGCCAATGCTTTCCCTTAAGGAAGGACATCATTTGTAATCAATTGCAAATACTAGTAGATTCATTTAAACGAGGCCAAGCCCATTGGTTTTTCTCATTTTTATGGTTTTCCACGTAAAAACTAAATTGTCTCTGATAAATGTTACACCCTCTCTATTTTATCTGATTGTGTGCTTGATCTTCATAAAAAGCTAAGACGTAAACTTTTTATTTCTCTACCGCCACGAATATTCCAGGACGTAAAACCCCTCATCTCTTATTTATAGGTTTGGTTGAGGATTAAGTACTATAGAATTAATAACGTACATGATTATACGTAAAATAAGAGAAAAATACGATATTCATATACTTCAATCAAAAGGTTTGATATTATAAAGTTGTTTGTCAAACTCTTCAGAAGTCACCGCCTTAACATGTATTGATAATCAAACTACCGAATAATTGATCAATAATGTTCTTTGAGAATTCATCAATTTTGGAGAAGTCGTCATTGATGACTTATATAGAGTTGTCACTATGACTAATTAATCAGTCTTACCTATCAGCTTGGAATGAGTTCTTGAATCATAGTCATATAGCTGTGATGAATTCTCATACAGATTAACAAGTCTCTTTTGAATTTAGACAGAGTTAGCTTAGCATGAATTGGCTTAATTTAACTTGAATTGGGTTAATTGAGCTTGAACAACATTTTCTACAAATTTAGATGTACATTTAGTAACTCAAAATGTATAATAAATGTTAAAAGATGCAAGAAGTTAATAATTATTTGATGACAAGCATAACAAGTTAATTTTGATATTATTAGTTATCATGTCACAATGACCCACTCTTGGTGGCATGGCATTAGACATCGCACCATCAACCTAAACGACATGGAAGCCATCCATGACCATAAGAAAGCTTCCCTAATTAATTTAATTTCATTATTTGACCAACGCATCTAATTTACCAAGTAATTATCTAGTGAAGATTTAAAAAAAAAAAAATTTACCAGTCAATACTTTTTCCCATGATCTCATTCTTCTTTCACCGCCCAACCTCCCCTCCTTCCACACATTAAAGCCGTGAAGAAAAGAAAGGTCAGTCCTGCCAAACAAACAAAAAACAAGAACTTTTCCGTAAATCTGCCATCCACCCCCACCTTGAAATTACCAATCGGCTCTTCTGAAAAGAAAACAAATATACAATGAACGCTCAACGCTCCCCACCTCCAACCAATCAAAGCGCCAAACAAAGCCGGTCGCAGCCAAGCCACGCTGACGCTGTTGGTGGTCCCCACCATCCCCGGACTTCAAACGCGGACTTCAAATCAGGTTAATCCCGCCTTCTCGAGAAAATAAATAATAAATCAATTATAAAATTGGAAAATATACGAAATTCAAAAGAATTTTAAAAAAAGTTAGAAAAAGCGAGAAGGCGCCCGTGATGGTGCATTCCTTAACTACACGCGCCCTTTCTTGACCCCACCCACCTTTCATTTCCTCCCTTATCTTTTATTTCTTTTTAATATATTTTAAAAATCTTCACCCAAATCCTCACCCTATATAATCACGACCCCAGCCGTGTCACCTGTCCAAAAACACCCCTACGTTTTTTCTTTTATCTCTCTGAGCCCACTCATCAATTTTCTTCCTCTCATGGAAGAGATTCCAACAAGTAACAAGAGAGAGCGAGAGGATTATGACGAGTTGTTGAGCTCCCCGGAGGAAAAACGGCTCCGGTCGGATCTTATTCTCGACATATTTGATGATGACACTGATGCCGGAAGCGAGGATGGCCTCGCCTCCGTTATGAAGAGTCTTGAAGAAGAGATAGGCTTACCTTCCCCTATAGACCCACCGCCTTCCGAGGTACCCTTAGATTCTGGCGATGCGCAACAGCCAGATCTAGGGTACCTTTTTGAGGCTTCAGACGATGAGCTCGGCCTCCCACCGACAGTAGCCTCGTCGGAGGAGGACGGTGGGTTGGAGGTAAGGGACTGCGCAGAAGTAGATGCTGGATTTGGACAGATCTGGGGTTTCGCAGACGACTTGCCCGAGTGTTATGATGGGTTTGAATACTCTGCCTTTCGACCGGATGAAAGTGATTCAGTAGCCGGCGAGGATGTCGGCGTTTTGGGTGGGGATTTGTTCGGTTACGCCGATGAGTTTTACCCGCCGACGGATCTTTCTGATCTGTCATGGCGGTCGGAGTCCTTGCCAGCGGTTTAGTGGATTCGCCGGCAACCTTTTTTTCTTTTCTTTAGGTTTCTTTTTTCGTGACAGGGTCATATGTGTAAATTTTAGAAAATGATGAACTTTAAAGGGAAAGTTGGAATGACAATTAGCCGTGGAAGCCTGGTTGATGTTAACATCTATCATTTTCTGCCTTTCTCCGCCATCCAAATTAAAAAATAAAAAATATATTTCCATACAACAACTAAATGTTAATGATAATTATTTTTTTAAAATATTAGTAGTGCGTTTAATAAAGATTAAATAATAAATTAATACGGTAGGCCTTTTATGGGAGTCGTGAAGAACGTTTTAATTAGCGTTCGCTGTATCGTGAAAAGGTCTTCTACTATTATTATTATTATTATTATTATTATTATTATTATTATTATTACAGTTGTGAATTACTTTAATAATATATCAGTATGGACTTTACAACTTGTCTAACCAAATTTGATTAACATTTTTATTTGGAACATTTTAGACATGGGAATCTAATTCAAGGTTTTTCATTTGAAACCACTTAAATTGTGATTATTTTAAATAGATTATTATTTTCAATTATAATTTTTTTTCTTAAATATATGATGAAAATGCTCATTTTTATATTTTTTATATATCCAAAAAGGGAGGCCGTCCTCTTTAATAGCAAATTAACAATGAGTTCTTAAGATAGGTATATAGCAAAAAATTTAGAAACAAATTTTGAAGAAGTTTTCTCTTAATAATATATTGATTTAATGAAAATTTATGGTGTTGATATTTTTTTATTTTTGAAAAATTAAGGTAACATGATTTTAGTTTTAGATTTTTGAAACCTTTAATGAATACTATAATTAACTCGTAAAAGAGTAAATAAATATGAAGAGGTAATTTCTTAAAAAATCAAGTACAAAAAATTTTAGTGGCGACTTTAAGAATAGAAGAGAAGATTAATATAATAAAAGATTATTAAAATTAACTTTTAAAACAATTGTGTATAAAATTTTGTTTCTATTTTTTACTAAAATATTATATCTTTAATTGGTCTCATTAAAGTAAAATTTAAATATGATACTAAACAACATATAAAACTTTTAATAAAGATAAGTTCTTAAAACTACAGTGTCTAAGAGTAAGGTTTAAGGTGGCTGTAGTTTTTTTTATAAATTTAGTTATAAATTATTATGAAAAAATAATTCTTTTGAAGATTGGTATAAAAATTAAAATTTTATCTATTTTTTTTAAGGAATTTTTTACTATGCGTCCTTAAAATCTCTAATTAATGAGATATGCAGCTCCGTTCACTGCCGTAAGCCCGTAACCATTTGCCTTGGATGACAAGTAACTCCGTTAAGTTCATTGTCTCTCAAATTTTACGCGAACTCCAATCTCGTTATCTCCCATCGCAACTCTTTCTTTGGCTTTGCGAAACCTGGAAGCTTATCGTACGTTGTTAACTCCATACCAACTTCTGTTGGCTTCCTTTCTCCTTTGTAGGTGGTTCCACGCCTAAACATAGCAAATCCATCAAAGAAGCAACCCTGATCATGCAGTAATAAGCGCTTACTTTCTTTTGCATAATAGTGTTCACCCAGCCTTGGCCTTTAGCCAAAGTTTTTTATACTAGAAAAGCATATTTGGGCTTTGTTTGGAATGTCTTTTTTATTTTATCGCTTCTGAAATAAACAATTTAGTAAAACATTTAATTTTTTTTTTATTAAAAAGCTGTTTAAAAAACAACAAGAAAGCCGTCTCAAACGAATCCTTAGAGCTGCAAGTTTCATCGTTGGTAATTTTTTTTTGAATTTTTGAAAGCCTTTGATGACATTTTGGAGAATGTTTACCTTATAGATCCCTTCATATGTTTATTTTTCTAGTTGGGCTTCTTAATTCTTATTTTAATTATAATATATAAACCTCACAACCTTGGATTATTAAACATAGTTACTATTCAACCTTAATTACCATTGATAAATCAGTAATAGAGAACTAAGAAATTGAAACTTATATACTCTTGTGCTTTACGCATTTTAGAAAGTAAAAAATGTGTTGGATTGAAAGCTTTGAAAGACTAAATTTTTTAATAAAAATAAAGGACTATGTGTGATAGATCTACCCCAATTTTGGAGTATTGATAAGATAACATTATAAATATACACCTAGGACTCGCTAATAAACGACTTCTTGCACTTGGAAGTCATTGAGTGCAACGTTCTTTAAAACCTAAGGTAAACGACTCCAAAATTTAAAAGCCAGCTTTTAAAAAAAACTCAAAATTTTTAAAACACAGAACATTGGAATTAAAACCAATATTTAAATGACCTTAAACAAACAACTCAATTGTAGACAATTTCAAACCACTAAATCATAGGACCTATCAAAGCCACACATCTTTATATGTACACACTTAGATGATTAGATAGGACAACCAACTCTAGCTTAGACTAGGCCGATGGTTTGGTTTCTTTTTCTTGTAGTTGCTTACCTAAATGGTACTCCAGTTTTCTATGTTTACTTTTTGCACTCTGAATATTATTTCTTTTGGTGCATGTATGAAATAGGCTCTTAGGCAATTTTATATTTACTTGAATATAGTCACACAACATTATACAATTTCATTATATAAACTATTCTTTTATATTCCTACAAAGTAGAATGTACCTAGGCAATGACGTAAATAAAAAGTTTTAGATACTTGTATAGCTAGACTGACTTATGTAATATCAAGAGTAATAATGTTTTAGATAATGTCAAGAGTTATGAAGATATACATATTAGAGATCTAAATATATTAGAGTTCTTTTGAATGTTTATAAATCTTCTATATTATAATATCTCATACATTAATGCAATATATAATAAAAATTTAATAAAATACACGATTTTGTATAAAGGAAAAATATTATATTTAATTATTTTCTTAAATAAAATAAGTTTGCTGAATAAAATAAAACTAATACCAAATAGAGTTTTGCCTTCATCCAAATAGAGTTTAAGTTTAAATACCAATATACTGACCGGCAATGGGGGAGCTCAAAATATCTCTCAATTATTGTAATTAAATTACTTTTATTATTTGTAGGGGATACAAGATTAATTTTAATCAATATAAATTAGAAATAACTATCAGTAAAGGCATACATATATATTAAAGAAATTTAAAGGGGTCTTTAAGCCCTTAAAACAAAGAAAATTTTCATACATATTACAAAAGTTTATGTATTTATATAAAAATATAAAAGCTAAATTTTTATATTTATTTATATAAGACTCAAAATTTTAAATAATATTAAAAATAATCAATTATATAAAATAAAAAAATAAATGATATATTTTCATATATATATATATATATTGTATGGATCATAAATTTTTATTTAAGATAATATTTAAATTTAATGAAATTTATATAAAATAGAAGATTCTCGATTGCATTAAAAAAATAAAGATATAAATAAATGTTTTTATAAAATGGTTTAACTACTGTCACGTGTCGTGTCATGATATAAGATCCACATGGTAAGATACCGACAAAGACCCATGAAATAAATTTCTATCATAATTTTTAATAGAATAAAATATGGCCAAATATCTTTACCAAAAGTCATTAAATTATTTTTAGATAACTTTAATCTATATTTTAAATAATTGTTTTTTACATTTCCTTTATCTTAAGAACTCAATAATTTAATATTTATATTCAAATTTTAATAAATTCATTAGTATAAAGTTCAAAGCCAACGGTTATAATTTTTTTGATTTCTGTGATAAACTAGGTCCATTATTTGTCTAAAGAAAACGATGCCCCATATTGACTCACCCTGAGGGCATCGTTTCTATAAATCTCGTATTTCAATATCTCTCTATTTAACGTGAGAAATTCTTTGTTAAAATAATCGGTATATATCATTTTCTCTGTTAAAAAATAGCTCACAGCCGATGCTGCTTCAGCCAGATATCTCGTTGCAACGAAATCTCTGTTTGCTGTACTAATATATCGAGATATTCTATTTTAGCAATTAAACGCGCAACATATCGCGATATTCTATTTTAGACTATTAAACACGCGATATTTAGGTTGGAAACTAGAGAAAGTAACTCGGGTTTGCAGAATGGTTAAGAGTTGGGTGGGTAGTGGACTTGTGGTCCGGTCAGGTTAAAGATTGGTTTGTACGAGTGATAAGTAGGAAATGAGGAAATTATGAATTGCGTTGTAGCGAATCAATAAAGTAATGATATTGAAAAAAATGTCGCCAATAGATTTTTTAAATTAAATGATATTCAAAATTTTTTTTTTTTGGAATAAAATAGAGTTGAGAGAATCAAAATCAATTCAAAATTTATTTTATAAACTCGAAGAATAAATTTTATTTTCATAGTATTTAAATATTATTTATTATTTTTGAATTTAATATTTTTTTATTTACAGTATAAAGGTATTTTTCCCTGCAATATAAACCATAAAAATATTTGATTTTGAAAAAAAATATAGGTAATATTAAAAGGAGGATGCAAATTTAATGTATCTTTATTTATAATAGATATTTGTTGATGTCATAGTAATATGATATTTATAATAGTGATTATTCAATTTGTGCCATTTTCAAGTATTAAATTAATTATATGTAACTTTCAATAAAAAAATTTGACTTCTTCATTATAAAATTATATTATCAATAATTTAAAATTTAAATTTATTAATGTATAAAAATTATATTTAATTTAAAAAATGGGGCACCACTTCATTAATTATTAGAATATTTATAATTAATTAAAAATTATGAGTTTTAAATTTTGATTGAAAATTGTTGCGGGCTAGAATATACGCGTCGATAAAGTTATAAAGTTTTCGTCTCAGCTTTGTACGGATATTCAGCACACAAATAGAAGATGAAAAAACACCAGAATTTTTACGTGAAAAACTTCTAAAAAGGGGAAAAAACCACGGGGCCTAGCCCAATTTGAATGAATCCACTATTATATGCAGTCGATTATAATTGAAGCCCTTCTTTAGAGGGAATGTCTTGGCTTAATGTACATCATATGAAGCACATTATATGGTGGGAATATAAAGAGTCACTGTTGACGTATTTGCTTTGTCGGAAAGGCCATAGTCAGTGAGCAACAAAGGTATGAAGAACTATAGTCAGCGGGCGACA